GGAGGGAGAACAAAGTTGAAAATTGTTTCAAATTATTGTACAGTCTTTGACTTCTAGAAAAAAATCCTCTCGGAAAAAATCGCCCTGAAAATAATCCCCCCGAAAAAATCCCCCCGGAAAAAATTCCCCAAAAAATCTCGCACAAAAAATTTTTAAAAAATGTTGTTTTGAAATTGATAGTTTATCTGCCCAAACCAAAACCCTCAGTCTATGAAGCAGCACTCCTTGCATGTTCTATCTATGTATCAGAGGATGTATATACACTACTAGCATGTTCTACTCATTTTTCAGTTGATGTATGTACACTTCTTGTATATTCTACCTATTTGCCAGTTAATTTATAAAAAAAAAATGATACAAATCAAACTTTGAAAAATTTTAGTACATGTCCAAGCATAGTATATATATATATATAAATATATATATATATATATATATATATATATATATATATATATATATATATATATATATATATATATATATATATATATGTATATATATATATATATATATATATATATATATATATATATATATATATATATATATATATATATATATATATATATATATCCAAATCCAAAATGGTTTCTTTAAAAGATTAGGTAAAGGACTTTTGATCTTTTGTTGTAAACTAAACTAAATCAAAACGTTTCAATGTGATTCAAAAATATATATACGCGTTTTTTCTTTGGTTATTTTAGGTGCTCCTAGAAGACCTTGTGGTCGTATCAAAAAGCACCGCAGAAGAGCATTTAACTTGGAGGTTTATGCTTGCTTTATGTCAAAAAAAAGCCTAGAGTAGGCATCAAACCACAGATCAGTGAAGAATCCAGCATTTTTTGGTGCTTGAGATAGCAGACATGGCGCAAACTCCAAACATTTGTATGTCTATTCTTATGAATACTTACAAACAATGATGCTTTGCAAAATATTGCAATGATTGGAGGCTGGGAACAAAAAAAGCCCTAAAATTTCATCCCCCTGCCCCAAACTTGAGAGCAACAAGTTCGTAAAATAATTTTTTTTATTCTAAACTAAGTTTATATTCATCAATAAATTTTAAGTTTCAAAGTATTATCTCTCAGCGTTCATAAATTATGACCATATAAAGTTTAAAGTTACAAATTTTATATGGTCATAATTTTTGAACACTTAGAGATTGTAAAAAAATACTTAAAATTTATCCATGAATATAAATTTAGTTAAGAATAGCAAAAACTTATTTCATCAACATGTTGCTCTCATGTTTGGGGTAGGGGGATAAAACTTTAGACCTTTTTTGTTCCCAGCCTCCAATCATTACAACTTTTTAAAAAGCATCGTTATTTGACATGAGTATAAACATAAAAATGTTTGATTTTTGCTCCATGTTAGCTATCTCAAACACCAAAAAATGCTGGATCCGTCACTGTCACAGATCTCTTGTTTCTGAAGCAAATTTGCTTCAGAATTTAGAGTTTAAACGCCGCAAATGTACAATAAATATTTTTATACATTTATCATAAATTTTTAGCTTAAGACAAATATCTCAAGAAAGTAAAAATTGTAAATGTAAAAAAATAATTTTTAAATGTACCTTTAAGGGTAGATTTTGCAGTTAAGTATCGGATAGAAGTTCAAATTATTAGAACCATTCAATAACAAGAAGGCGAGAAAGCAGTTGCCGTAGCTAGCTCCTTGAATCCACTTTTCTTCTTTTTTAATGGTTCTTTACAAACAATTTTTATTTGAAGTAGCTGCTGAAGCTTCTCCAACTTCATCACACGCTCTACATTATCTTGAATAAATTTTACTGTAAGCACAGCAAAATTAAATTTTTTATTACGAAATGTTTTTCTTAAAACAAGAAATATGTTTCTTATTTGAGGAAATAAATACATTACCATGCAATTTATTTTTAAAAACAAGAAATATATTTCTTGTTTTGAGAAACAAGTTTCTTCAACTATGGTCAATAGATTTACGATTTTGCTGTGAGTTCTGATGAGTTGTCAGTTATGAAATTAAGTTTTACTTTAAAAATTGCAGAATCAGAAAAGTCGCAGATCAAAAACCAAGATGCCCTCGAGAGAAAAATGTAGTCAGCCATTTTATTGATCTCTTTGGTTTTATGATATAAATAGTTTATTCTCCGCTTAACAGTTTTATTTACGATTACGGCTATTTGAAGCTCTCCGACATGATTGCAGGAAGTTAACAAGAATAATGGTCGGCCAGGAAACTAAGCTAATCTTGCACAAACCCCTATTAAATAGCCATGGATTGAAGTGGGTGAATTGTATAAGATCAAAAGCATCTAACAAATTTCCATTTGTTGTGTTTTGGGCTTCAATCCTACTGTATTTGAAAACCACGTTTTTTTAATTTCGTGCGTTTTTAAAATACCACCGCTTTGACGTTATTATATAGTTAATGATTTGTAAATCTCTATTCGCGCAGATTGTTTGAAAATGCATATAATATATATATATATATATATATATATATAATATATATATATATATATATATATATATATATATATATATATATATATATATATATTCGTGGAATGAATCTAGAATTTATAAAAGTTTGTGTTTTTCTATTTATAACTACTTATAATAAAATACCTAGTAATATTTTTTAACATTTTTTTAGTATTCTAATGAGCCAAGTTAGATCAAAATGCGAGGGTTGTTAGTTTTATATAGTCTTAACTTTTAAACACTAAAATATAATTAGATGAAATTGAAAAACTGTAGATATATTTAGTATAAAATAGAGAAACTAAACATTTTATTAAGTCATTGCCATTATGCTTGCGCAGATGCAGTGAGGTTGTAGGGGTATTATAGTTTCCAATTTGTAAAACTTTTTGCAAAACAACGAGATTTGACCTAAGCATGAACCATATTTAAATTTAGTTCAAAAAAGGCATTTTTTAAACGTTTTTTAAAATTTCTATGACGGCTACAGTTTTAAGAGTTATAAAATTCTAATAATGTTGATACTCTAAAATTGTGAAAACTTATAATGAATTTACCTTGAGCTAATTTCATTACAAACTCTTAATAAATTTTTCTTAATGAAATCAGCTTATTTTGATTCAAATAAATAGAGATATTAATTTGATTCAAATAAATGGATGAATCGAGTCTTTTTTGATTCAAAATATTGAAGTATTGAACTTTTTTGATTCAAAATATTGAAGCTTAGCAGGGGCCTCATATATATATATATATATATATATATATATATATATATATATATATATATATATATATATATATATATATATATATATATATATATATATATATATATATATATTCAGGGCATGACGTTATACTGATTTTTGGTGTCGGTGAGACTCGTTAGTAGTAGTAAAGACATATCATCGAGCAGAACATTTAAAATCCCAACTTTGATGCGGTATGGGTAGGAGGAGATCGTGAATCTTGACCTGTTTTTTTATATTATATAGGTAATATTACCTATATTATAAAAAACAAATACAAATTAATTGCAAACAAATCACAAAGTATATATACTATGAAATATAATAAAATTATATACAATTTATATATATAAATATTTTATGATACATTGTTTATAAGTAACTTGTGAACTTTATGGCCTATTAAATGCATTATATTCATTCACATAATTATATATATATATATATATATATATATATATATATATATATATATATATATATATATATATATATATATAAATTTTCCAGCTATATATATAAATATATAATATATAAATTATATAAATGTAAGTGTATCATACATCAATACATTAAGACGCAAGTAGTGTTAGGTGAACTCTATTTTTATTCAGAAAAAAAATTACTCAGACCTGAAAACAACTTCAAATCAAGATAAGACTCTTTTAAATAAAAAATCAAGATAAGACTCTTTTAAATAAAAAAAAGTAAAAAATTATAAATTGTCACGCTCAGATTTTTAGAAAAAGAGTTTTGAAAATATAAACAAATCACGCATTTAACAGTTAGATAAATGTAGCAGAGAATCCCAGTTTTTTATATACTAAAACATCTTTATCTTTTTCATTTTTGAATCAACAATTCAATTATCTTTATAATTATTTCATTCTATCAAAAATATACAAATAATAACCACTAAGTGAAACTTTAAATATATAGTTGCTACTCAGAAAATGTTTTTGTATATAAAGGTCTCACCATCTTTAAAATTGTAATATTTGTATTTGACACTGCGCTTGGGTATAATAACTTTCCACATCTAAACGACCGAGTACTAAAGGACACTGTCACCTTTTGATTCAAGTTTTACCTTTTGCAGAACTTGTTAAATGCTTGTTATGAGGATCTGTCAGCTTTTCTCATACAAATGATACTAACAGTTCTTCTGCATTCTTCGTGTGAATATTTTATATCAGAATATTTCTACCAGAAAAATTTCAAAATCACTTGCAATGTACATCTACATGTATCAAGAATAACCTCCCGAAATAACTTTTTTGGAGTATTTCGTTAGTATTACTTATGAATTTTCAAACTGTGAATAAGCACTTGAACATTTATTAATGATTTTTTCATCATTATTGAGGATTGGTCGTTTTGCTAAAAGGACATGGGCTGATTCTATAAATAGAGTGCTCAATTTTCTTGAAATTAAAAAACAGAGCAATAATAAATTAGTAAAAACACTTATATAATTTTTTTCTTCAACAGCTTGCTTCTCCATTAGGTTCATCAGGAAGCTTCCTGAAAAAAAAAAAAGCTGTTGGAGAAAAAAATCAGATAAGTGTTTTTACTAATTTATATATATATATATATATATATATATATATATATATATATATATATATATATATATATATATATATATTTTTAGACACACACACACACACACACACATAGTTATATATAGATATATTTAGCGTGTGTGAATAATTAAAGAACATTACAAAACTATATACAATGCTTACGAATGATAACACATTATGAGGCAAGATTAAGAAATAAGTATTTTTACTAAAGTTAATATAAAAAAATATTTTATTAAAATTTGTTATAATACATCTATTATATTTTGTACAAGATTTTATCTCACAAAACCATTTCTTTGAACAATTAACCGTCGCCGACTGACAAGGGGTCGTTAGCAGCAGTTTCAAGTGTTAGTTTTCCACCGTAAGTTATATCTATTTTCGTTTCGTTATATACACATCGACTTCAAGTCAAGGATTAAGAAAAAGTAAAGAAGAATGAGTTTTATTTTAAAAAAAGGAAAGAAAAATGTAAATTAAACAATTATAAATATTAAAATTAATGCGACGTCACAAATAAGTCATGTCACAATCTAAAACACAAAAGGTCATAAAGTAGTTCCATTAGCGAGTAAAAACAATTGATGCAAAAAGAATCTACACTAAAATATTTTCTAAATGACGCTCTTCGAAATCTAAATGATGATCTTCAAAAGGGTCTGGGATAATAAGAGCGTCACTAAGTTGTCGTTTAATTTCTTGCGCATCTAATTTCACTACAATGTCTTCATGCGAATCAAGTTGTTCGTGAACTTTTATTTCTGATATAGCAGTCATAGAGGAATGTATCTGCTTTACATCAGAAATTTCCCGACTTTGCCGTAATATATCTTCAAACGGCGTTTGAATAAGGTCTGGAGACGTTGAAGTTAATCCATTAGGAAGGCTAAGCGATTTATGAATTTTAGGCTTTACATTTTTCCTGGCTATAAAACGGTGTTGATGATGCGCTTTTACGTGCACATTTGGAAGTCCCGAAAAATAGTTTTCCTTATTAAGCGAGGAACTGCTTTGAAATGAAACTGGTTCAGAATTTATTGCTCCAAAAGGCAAAGAATGCCGGTGGCTAGGATTACCAAGCGCAAATTGATTTTGACCAGATCGAGCATCAAGGGAGTTATTTAAATCACTAAATATAACAAATTAATCATGATTAATTGTAATTAAATTTTGATTAAAATTAATTATAACAAATTTTAATTATTAAAGTATTACCAAAGCTTAAAAACTTAAGAACATAAAGTTAAGAAATTCTCAGGCTTTAACAAAATCATATGATCCTATGAATTCGCATTTATTAGATAAATCGCTCCTCGATTAGCATTTCATTATTTCATTTGGCTCTTTGTTAATATTATTATTGAATATCATTAAAAAAACTATTTTTTTTCGAAATGAATCACAAATACTCTCGAGTCTTTAATACAAAGGACGTTTATTAATTTTTGGAAAATTTTCCAACCCATTATTAATTTTTAGTTGTGATCAACAAAAAATTTATATCTCAAAAACTAAAAAAAAAAAAAAAAAAAATCAGTGAAAATCAACTTTAAAAATTAGAAATTAATTATTTCAGTCACCGATAAAAACAAAAACTTATAGTGTAAACAAGCTTTAAAAATCGTCGACATAGTAAATTTTGATTTGTCGAAAAGGCTTTTGGTTTATTTTAGAGGTGCACCGGATATTTTTGCCGGATATTGAACTTTTCTCAAGTTCTATAAGTGTTTATAAAGTAAAAACAAGTCTTGCTATCCTACATTAAATAGTGTTCAAGATTTAAAAAAACAAAATCAATAAAAAACTGGTTTAACACAGGTATATGCGTTAATGTGTAAAAAAAAAAATCGTTTTTATAGCCAAATTTTAGGTTTTTTTAGTTACTATTTTCTATACTTCGTCAGTACAAACACCATGTCATACAGTTTTTCACTAAATTTTTTAAGTAAGATCTTGAATACTATTTATTGTAGACTGGCAAAAAAAAAATTTTTCTTTATAAACACTTATAGAACCTTAGAAAAGTCCATTATCCGGCATATCCGGCAAAAATATCCGGTACACCTCTAGTTTATTTCTCACCAAAGTATAAAACTTATATCAGCGTATAGAAAATGCGCAAGCCACGCTAGAATCAAATAGTTTTATGCTTGCTTTGTAAAAAACAATTAGATTGATTTATAAATTATAAACAATCAATATAAACAATACAATTACTCGTTTATTAAATTTTAGAAAAATTTCCCTCTCCTTTTTTATAACCCCCCTTCCCCCTCCGTTAATAGATCTTAAAGAAAATTACCCCCCCCCCCACCTTGTATTAAGGACTCTATGGTAGAAGCATTACTGATTCGCAAATCGAATAAGAAATAGAAACATCGCGATTCAAATAAATTCACAGGATTTTATAATCAGAAATTAAAATATTATTCAAAATAAAAATAAGGAAGATATAAAAATAAAAATGACTTGGAAAAAAATAATAATAAAGAAATAATAGAAAGGAAACTAAAAATAAAAAAAAAGCTAAAATTTAAACTAAACTAGAGAAAATTGTTAAAACATTATTGGCTGCATTAAAAAAAAGCAATTTTTAACAAGTTAAAGTAAATTGCAACAAACAATTTTCAACAAATTAAAGTGTGAATTGCAAATTCAAGAAACAATATTACAAGAAAACTAAACAAAAATTAAAAACTTACAACCTCAAACCAAATTTCGCTTCAAACAGATTTTTTAAATTAAGAAGTGTATTTCGCAGATCTGTTGTACCCAACTTATTGTGGTAACGAAGCTAAGTATAAAAAGGTATTAAAAAGCAAGATTGCAAAAAAAATAAAACAGTTTATTAAGGAAAAAGATGACATATAAATAAATGTTTTAGCTTTTCTAATCTTGTAAAAAAAAAATTAAAAAAAAAAAAAAATGTAAATGTTTTTTCTAATCTTTATAAAAGTTTTTAAAGTTGAAGAGTTAATAATAAAAATTAAACTAATAATTTAATGTTTTTTTGTTTTTTAAAAGAATATCTTATTCACACTGACAATAAAAGAAGTTGCAGTATTTTAAACACGTTTTACATTTCTTTTTAAAAAAAATATCCTATTCACACTGATAATAAAAGAAGTTTTAGTATTTTAAACACGTTTTACATTTTGTCATACAAAGTTTAAAACTTTTAATTTAATCGCAGAGTAAGACTCAACACACAAAAAACCATTAATATCAATTGTTCTGAGATATACACATTTGGCGACTGAAAAGAAGCTTGTGCAGCTACAGGGCTGTCGCGTGTCATTCCAGTTTAAATAATTAGCAAATCAACCAGCACATACATCCGCATCAAACAAAAACATTCTTCATCAGAATAAATCAACATCTCTACACACCAACGCAACTCCACTCAACAAAGACAAAATTACAGAACTGTAATAATTAGCCAAACAAATACGAACTGAAATCTGGTTCCATAACTGAAAGCTGGTTCGATTTTACTTATACCCCATCAATCAAAAACTATATGCTATTTATGAAAGATAGAATCAGTTATAAAGGTGGTGTAGCAATTTATGTTCAAAACGGTACAATGGCAGATGAACTAGACAGTCCTCAGTTAAACAAAAACTTTCCTAACAACTTTAAAATAAAATTAACATCAGAAAAATTACTAGTAGGTTGAATCTATTGCACTTGGGGGATTTCGTCAACTGCTTCAGTACAATTAAATGAAATAACTTGTGCTCTAATAGTATAATAATATGGTTACGCTAAATACTTAGTTATACAAAGCATATAATGGCTTAATTTTGATGACTTTAACTTTCCGGAGCGTGAATAATTTTTTTTTAATTAAAAAGTTTGTCCAGCGGGAGTGCAGGGCGTTTGAAAAATGTATGTTTTACTAAAAACTAATCAAAATGGTACTTTTCTGCCTTTAGACATAATATAGACATAAAAATAAAACATAATATTTGGTGTTATTTTTCCTAATACCATACAAACACGGTAGTCGTTAGAAAAATTGTCTACCATTATGGATTTTAAAATAACAAAATATATAAATGTTTGAAATGTTAGTGCATGCAACATTTTAATTATGTAATATGATATTAGAAGAGAAGTGAATAATTTTTTTTTCTCAGTAAAAGTTTGTTTTCAGAGGGCGCAGGGCTTTTGAAAAATGTCAGCTTTACTAAAAACGCGTCATTTTAACACTTTTCTGACCTTTTTTTATAAGTCTATGCAATTATCAAAAAACAAATAGACATAATACAGACATTAAAATAAAACATAATTTTGGGTGGTACTTTCCATAAGTTCATACAAAAACATTGATGTAAGTATACCGTGTTTACTCTAGGATATTAGAAGAAAAAACTTATTTGCTCTATAAATACTACATAATATAGTTTCTACAATAATTCCAAAACTTTATGAAGGGGTAAAATTTATTGGTCCCAAATAAATTGTCATCAAAATGATACAATATGTTAACGTTCAATTTATTTACTGTGATCATAAATAATATCCCAAACCAAAAGGATTGAAAAAAATAAAAAAATAATATTGCCTAAATTAATTTAAATAGATCTTTTTTTGATTGGTACAGAGGCATGATTTCCCGATATGCTAATGTTGCTCTGATGAACCTATCTCTTCTATATTTTCCAAATACCGATTGAGAAGCTCTTGTGACTTTTTGGACACATCTTTCAATAGCTTGCCCATGAACAGGAAAACAAGGTACATACAGAGTATCATTGTATTTTAAAAGTTCATCCTTTGACAATAAACATAAAAGTAAATGTTCGTGTACATCTAAACTCCAATAAATTAGACCAAAAAGTAAATCAGCATTTTCATTATTTAAATTATATTTTTTACTTCTTACGTTAGTGTTTCTATATTCTGAATCTCCTCTTAATTTTTAAACTGTTTCAATTGCAAATTGTCTTTGTTTTTTCTATACTGCATAACAACGCTTAAAGAACATTTTCACTATGAGCATTCTATGAAGATGATAAAACATAGGTCATTACAATGACTTTAAGTTTTTGATGACAAAGAAGTTTTAACTGCTTAAGTATATGGTTAGGCCTTTCATTCCAATTCCACTGATTTGATTGAACTCCAACAATTAACTCCACCAGAAGTTGAAGATTATATGTTTCTTCAACTGAAAGTACAATTTCTGAGCACCAACGTAAACTTATTCTATTTGCGAAATTCAACTATCTTGCATGCGAATGAGGCCCAATTTCTTTGTCTTTAAAATTTTCTGGAAAATCCCAGCATTAATTGCATGGGTAATTTCATAAAGATACTTTTGATCATCTGATAGCGATTTAACAAATTTAGAGTCAAGTTCTATTATTGCATTAGGAAATTCAACTTTTATTATTCTATCTTTGACTTTGAAGCTAGTAGCCTTACCTATAAGTTTTTTAATCAAACCAGAAGAAATTTTTCAATGCAGTTTTCCTGTCAAGCTAAATCATAAGATGTCAGAGAGGTAGTTCACTTGTATGAAGAGCACAAATTATCCACATTAGTATTAATTAGTAATATAACACTTCCTTTCCAAACAGTGGAAATGGAATAAAAGCAGACTAAACAAAATTTGCTTAGTCCGTACCAATGGCAACTAAAGAGCCCAACATCATGATCCACAATCCATTTGTAAAGATTATCAGCTATTTAATCAGCTGCAATTTCTACTATTTCTTCAGAATTATTAGTGAAATAAAATTGGCATTAACCTTCAAGTTCAGAACTAACTCAATAATGTTCTTCTTTTTTTCTGATGGATGTAATTTCCATTTTTTCTTCTCTCATGTACTTAGTTCAATCTTTTCACCGGATTTTCAATGGATTTCTTTCATTAATTTAGTCTTACTTCGTTTTATTCTGTTGTGATCAACAAAAATAGCAGTATTTTTCTTTAAGAAATTTGCATCTTTTGCAGAAACTAAAGCAGCAGCTATGGCTGCTACAGCTCTGCTAGATACCTTATACCTAATAGCTGCTTGTGAAACCCAGGTAATATATAAGTAACTTTTTTCAAACATAAGTCAGCTTTTTTTGAATTATTTGCATTTTTGTTGCTAATGTCCGAATCGCTTCTTGTTTGAAATCTACTGCTAAAAGAGAAAATAAGTGTTCAAATTATGTTAATTAATTTTAATAAAACAGCTATTATATTTTTTAATATATATTAATATATAATTCAATATATAATTATTATATATTAATATATAATATATAATAATAATATATAATATATAATATATAACATATATATTATTAATATATAATTCAACAAAAATTGACAAAAATATTTGTTCCTGAAATCTGAACCTTTTCTACCCAAATATCTTGTTAACCGATATGCCTCTGATACATCAACTAATCCTATTTGTAAAAAACTTTTGTTACCATTTTTTTTTTCTCAGAGCTTGTTGGAAAAATAGTTCCTGCAAAGGTATCTTTGTTACTTTTAGACATATGCAAGTCACATGAGCTTTAAAAAGTTAACCACATCCATTTTCATTACAGCATAAGATTTTGCATTTACATTTTGTCAAGTTAAACCTTTTTTATTTTTATTTTTGTCAAGTTAACTTATTAAGTTTATCTGTATACATGTTACTTTTTTTTTTTTTTGTAGTTTTCAATTTTCCAATGTCTTTTGCAATGTTCCATTCAAGGACAAGATTATCAACTGCAAATTTTTCTAATACCAACAGGATTGTAGAATTTGCTGACATCCAAGTACTTTTTAATTTAATAAATATTTGTATACACATACATCTTGCACTCAAATATGTAACTGATCTATCAAGCAAAAAAATTCCATATTGTTTCTTACAAACTAGCTTTCTAGCAAACTAGCAAAGGATCAACTTTATAACAAATAGAAAATCATACACCATTTTTAGTTATTGACCAATTTTTATGGTTTTTAATAATAATGGAGAGGGGGATATAAACCCCAAGCCCACAAACTTTGATGACTATGTTTTATGATTCACTTAATTTTATATTAGTAGCATTATGTACATTGAAAATAACAATAATATAGATTGTTATACTAATTTTTTTAAGAATTTTTAGTAAAAGTGACATTTTTTAAACGACTTGTGCCCACACAAGACAAACTTTTTGAGAGAAAAAATTCATATTTTTATCCTATTACATAACTAAATAATTAAGCGCATTACATTACATGTGTGTATATATATATATATATATATATATATATATATATATATATATATATATATATATATATATATATATATACACATATATATATATATATACACATATATATATATACACACATATATATATATATATATACATATATATATTTGTAAAATCCATGGTAAACACTTTTCTTATGTTTACCATGTTTGTATGGCCTTGAGTAAAGTAATACCAAAAGTTATACTTTATTTTTATGTCTATATTATATCTAAATATTTTTTGATGATTGCATTCCCATAAGCTTTTTAAAAAATAGCAAAAAAATACCACTTTGATGAGTTTTAAGAAAAGCTTAAATTTTTCACACGCCCTGCACCCTGCTAAATAAACTTTTTAAGAAAAAAAAATTATTCACATCTCTTCTAATATCCTACTACATAAAAAAAAAATTGAGCACACTCCCATATCCAAAAATTCCTTTACAAACACAATGATGAAATAATTACATTTTCAAACAACATATTTTGGCAAAATTTATGGATCGCAATGTTCAAGAATGTTATTCCTTAATAATTTAATTTAATTTATAATTTAGAAATCAATAATATTTATTATAAATTAAATTAATAATGAAAAGGTTAGGTTCCACCATCTTGGCTTACAGCTGTTGTTACATTTATTTAAAAATATAGACCAATATTGCTTACTTCCATGCAAATTTATGGTGAAAGTAATAATACAAGATCAGATCAATAATTTGGTAACCAACAAACTGCTTTCCGAAATTTAACATAGTTTTGTTTCAAAACACAGCCAACACTCTCAGATGAAACCAAGGCTTTGTTGCAGTTTGAAAGAGTTGGAAAAAATCAGATGCTGATGATTTTTAAATTTAATGATCATCCCAAAACTAATCTAATTGTTTAATCTTAAATTTTTCTTCAAAACAAAAATGACCTTTTAGAACTACTCTAAAATAAATACACAATGTACCTTAGCAAACATAGGTAAATTAATTTACAATGTACCTAGATGATTAAAGTGACTCTTGCATTTTTCAAGCACTTGCCACAGTTCCTTCTGCATGGGATTTTTTGGTTTATTTTTAAAATATATTTACTAGAAGTAATAATGATGTACTAAAAGTAATTTAAGATATTTTTAAGTTGAATGGTGTTTAGTACAGTATTTTTCCTAAGAAACTACATTAAATTGTATGGCCATAAATGTTGAAAAAAATATTGAATTTTGTTTTGTTTTTTTATGCATTTTTGTTATTCATAAAATATCATTATTTAATATATTAATAAAAATATTATTATGATTATTATACAACAATTATAAAATATTATAAAATATCATTATTTAATATATTAATATAAAATATTATTTTTATTATTATACAACAATATTATAAAATAATATTTTTAGTGCAATAAAAGCAAACTTTTTAAGAAATGCAAATTGTTCAGATCTCTCCTTAACTACGCTGAGTAAGGGCTCCAGTGCATACATTGACCGAGGTTTTGGTGTTTATATAAAAAATGTCTGCAGTACTCAAATTAGTGCTGTGCAATCTTAATTTAATATTTTCTATATGCCATTTATCCAGTCTTGCTTATCCAGTCTTACTTATCCAGTCTATTCTATGTGTTACAGAGATTAAAAAAAGTTTTCCACTCTTTTTTTTTTTTTAACCTTAATTATTTGTCAAAGTTAAAGTAAAATAGTGTAAATTCTACTCAAAATTAAATTAATTAAATACCAAATTTATTTAAATATCACAAAATACCAAAATTATTTAAATACCTGTGCTATATTTTTGTTTAACAGAAACATTCCATATCGAAAATGAAACTTCTCTTTCCCTTTTGAAAATAAAGGAAACCTAAAAGTAGCATGAAAGTTTTTTTATGTTATAAATAAAAATTTCATTTTAAAGATAATTTTTTTAATAATATTAAAAAAAACTATCATTTAATTAATTTTTTTATAATAATATTATATTAAAATATAATATTGTATAACCTATAATAATGTAATATAATACTTAAAAATTATTTAATATTCAAATAATATTAATTAAATAATGAATGAAGAAAATCTTACTCCCTTTCTTTGTCTGTCAGTTTATCAGTTACAAGGTCTTGAACAGAAGAACGAGAACCCATTGGGCAAATGGGATATCTTAGAGGCAATTCTGTAAACTTCGCCATCATATAAACTAAATGTGCAACATAACCAACAGCAACAGCTAACATTGTTTCATCTTCACCTGTAGTATTTTTTAAAATTTTTTAAAATCAAACAATAAATATATTGTTTCCCTTAAAACATAACTATTATAAATGGCTATAAAAATTTAACAATATTAATGTAATAAGAAAAATTATAATAAATATAACTATAAATATATACACAGTAAATAAGACATAATTATACAATAATAATATATAAATTTATATACAATAATAGTAATTAATTGTATCAATTACTTTTATCATATATAAATTTAACTAATGAACAATTTAGATTTTTATATACAATAATAGTAATTAATTATATCAATTACTTTTATCATATATAAATTTAACTAATGAACAATTTAGATTTTAAAATGAATGGTATGATTATGCAGGATGTTCTCAGGAAATAGAAGAAGCGAAGAGAAAAAAAGTTAGTTCATCATTTATTAAAAACAATATTAGACCAAGACATTTGAAGAACACTTTACACAATAGATTTGTTACTTAAAATAAAATTATTACATGTTCAATTCTATAAGAAAAATAAAATCTAAACCAATCACTAACGAATCACAAATTACTAACAAATTAGAAAACACTAACCAATCACAAATCTCTAACCAATCACGAATCACTAACCAATCAATACCAACTTAACAAATGCCATAATGCTCTAAATTAGAAACTAAAACTATGTCAAGGGTATCAAAGTGATTTGTAAATTGATATAAACTCCCTAAATTGATTGGTTTTTATTTAAGTTAATTAAACTTATCTTTCATTTAAGTTAATTAAATATCTTTGAAATGATACATTTAAGTTAATTAAATATTTACTTTCATTTAAGTTAATTAAACATCTTTGAAATGATGTGGTAGAGGTTCTCTACCATGGGGTAGAGGTTCTCTACCCCATGGTAGAGAACCTCTACCCCATAGTAGAGAACCTCTACCTTATGGTAGAGAACCTCTACCCCATGGCTTCCTTCTTCTTGTGTAGCGGCTATTTCTAAATAGTAATCAATTCTTTATCACAAGAAAAACTTGAAAACAAATGACATTTTATCATTGCAAAAAATTGATGCACTAAGATACAAAGCTCCATTATTCTCAGATATGGTCTGACACTAAGGTCCATCATTCTTAGATTACTAAATCTCACACTTTATTTCAGGTATGACTTTTACATTATCACAATTATAACTAAAGTCTTTTGGTAAATCTTTAACAGTATCATTAACACCTTTAACGGTATCATTAACATCTTTAACAGTATCATTAACATCTTTTACAGTGTCATTAACATCTTATACAGTATCATTAACATCTTTAACAGTATCATTAACATCTTTAACAGTATCATTAACATCTTTAACAGTGTCATTAGCATCTTTAACAGTATCATTAACATCTTTAACAGTATCATTAACAGCTTTAACAGTATCATTAACATCTTTAATAGTATCATTAACATCTTTTACAGTGTCATTAACATTTTTTACAGTGTCATTTACATCTTTAACAGTATCATTAACATCTTTAACAGTATCATTAACATCTTTAACATTATCATTAACATCTTTAACAGTATCATTAACATCTTTAACAGTATCCTTAACATCTTTAACAGTGTCATTAACAGCTTTAACAGTATCATTAACATCTTTAACAGTGTCATTAACATTTTTAATATTGTCATTAATGGTTAATCCAAGGCTTCAATTAAGTGATTGTGAATAGCGATATCTGGAAACGCTTCTGTCTTTAAATTTTTTAAAAACCATAAACTCTGAGTTTTTCACTTAACTCAATAGTTGTTATTCAACAAAAAATATTTATCTTGGTCTTAAAATTATGAAACAAAATCTCTTTATAAAACCATATTATTACTATTACTTCTAATTTTAATACTTTTATTATTATTAAAAGTATAACTTAAACTTTAATATTTTAATTCACTTGATTAGCATCAGCTAATCAATGTTTAACAACTAAATCTTATTTTCCTGCCAGCTAGAAATGCTTTCATTTTTTTAAAAAAATGAGAATTTGATCCCTTGAACTATCATCCAATCTTTAGACCTTTTAGTCGTAAGTATTTGAATCTTTAATTAACAAACTAATATTTTACCATGATTCTAACAACTTAGTTAAAAACTTCTAATATTTTATCTTGAATCTAATAACTTAATGACAATCAATACAGATTTTAACTCTTGTGATTTAAATATAATACCATTTAAAGCCTGGTGATATTAATACTGATTTTATTCCTTTTACTTTTGTGAGGTAGGGGCAGTTCTGAATTTATCTATAGGCTGACTAGGCTGAGGCCTAGGGCTCCGCTATTTTTTGGGACCCCAAATTAAGGGGAAAATATTTATATTTGCCAAGTAAAGAATAAAGTTATGAAGCCAATTCTTTTTTTTATTTCAAAAACTAATTGTTATGAAGACATAGATCCAAACATTAACTTGAATGTTCTCAAACATCTAAACAAGCCATGGCCAAGTTGTGGCAATTAAATATTATATGCATGGTCAAGAACAGAGTGCGATCGCACGTCTTTGCTGACCAGGCCTGTTAGTTTTTTGTTTTTTTAAATTCATTTAGAAAATAAATTGATTACACAAAAGTGGATTTCAAAAGCTTAAGAAAAAAGCCGAAAAAGAACAAGAATTAAAGAATGATCAGAAACTTGATGGTTTTTTTTTGTAAAGAGAACCCAGATGTAAAGAGCCCATAAATCAGTCTATTAAAACAAAACAACCAACTTCAGAAAATGATCATTAATTGCAAGAAGTCACACGTTCTTCTGAATTAATCATTGATAGCTATAATTTAAACATAAACAGAAAAGATGACATTGACTTATAGGAACATCTTTCTGAAGATGGTATTTTGTTTTGGATTTCAAAAGGATCAAAAACTATTGAGAACTTTGATAGTGATTTCTATGAATCAAAACAGTTTTACAAGGATCATGATCGCTTTATTCAAAACCTCTTTTCAAAGGCCAAAGAGCAAATGGTGAAAAATACAACAAAAAAAATAAAATAAAATTTTTATGAATAAAAAATTTATTCTCATGCTGAAATATTACTTATTTTCTAGTTTGTTTTGCATTTATAAAATCTACTTACATATATATGTACAGTATTATACTATCAGTATAATTATAAAAATTTTTTTTTATGAAATAAAATGAATAATTGACTTAAGAAAATTCTACACTTTTTTGAAAAAGGGCCCCAAAAAGCGATTCAACCTAAGGCCCTAAAGGGTGTAAATCTGGCCCTGGGTAGGGGCAGGGAGTATTGTTTATTATTGCACATTAGATGGAAGCAGTGAGGTAGGGGTTAGGAGTATTACTTTTGACATATAAAAAACTTTGAATAAAGTCTGGCAAGATGGTCTTCTCCATAAGTTCTTAATATATAGTTTATCTGGAAAAGTTTTTATAATTATTAAACCATTCTTTTCCAACCTCAGAATTAAAGTTATCTTTAATGGATAACACTCTTCTTCATTTCCAGTAGCAAATGCGGTAGTGGTGTAGTGGTAGAGCGCTCGCTTCATAAACGAGTGGTTCCGAGTTCGATCCCCACCACGTCCCTGGTAGTACCGCGCTCAACTCGTTTCTCCGCGCAGCGGCCTTGTTTGTCAAGGTTCGTGTTTCAGAGTTATAGAGTTGAGAGAGGGTTATAGCCACAAACAAGTAGCCTCCTCGTCTGTAGTGGCCTTCTCGGCCTTGAGGAGGTGAATTAAAATAAAAATAAAAAAAAATAAAAAAAAAGGAGATATCACAAGGTACTATCCTTGATTCCATGTTATTTCTATTAATGATCTTTCTGTCTTATCTCTAAAATGGCTCTATTTGTTGATGAAGTTTAACAATATTTCAGTCTTGACATAAAATCATCATTTTTTGATCCATTAGAACAGGCAGCTGATCCTGAATCTGGTTTCTTGTGACACTGGAAGCTAGCAGTGGCTAGTGAATGCTAACCCAAACAAAACTTAGTTTTTTACTGTTAATAACAATGGCAATAATGTTGATTCTTCTACATCAATGAGTGATAAAACTAAATCCTCTACTTTAGATCTTCTCGGATTAAACTACTAATGACTTCTCATTATCATTCATTATATCATTCATTATTCATTCTCTAATATCATTCATTAAACTACTAATGACTTCTCATAGATAATGATCTCTTATGAAGTATGGTTTACATAACCTAATGCAAAATAGCATCTGTTAAGATTACCAAGTGCCAATTGTTGTGCTTGCTACCTTCTTACTTTTGATTGTATTCTGTACCTCCAAAAACCATTTATTCATCCTTGTATAGAATACTTTTTACATTTAGACTAGTTTTACATTAGAAGAACTATGAAATAAAAACTAAGAAATGAGGCTAGTCAATATTAGCTGTTTAAGTGAAATGTTTTATCATAGAAATAGCTAAAACTGTAACATAATCATCAAATTTTTTACTTTCACACATCCTATTTAATGTGCACAACATAAATAATAAAAAAAAAAAGACTTATCCACATGAAATCAACCCTGGCTCTAAAAATAGCTCTAAGAATATTTCATTAAATCTGAAATATTATAAAATATTTTATGAAATTTATCAATACCATTAAAATCTTCAGAGTTTGGTAATCTGACTCCACAAATTGTATACTCTCGTTTATTTTTTTCGTTAATTGGCAACTAAAAAAACAAAACAATTATAAATTAAAGATTTAAAGAAAAATTTAATCTTATTTATTTAAAACAACAGAAGGACCCGAAGGCCACTTATACTGCAGTATACATTAAAACAAATTAATAAGTCTGTGTTAAGATTGACAGTAGTTAAGATCAAATAGCATTATTTAGAGCAATATAGCTTGAAAAGATGTTTTTTAAACATTGATACAGATGATGCAGATACTACATTTCCCGATAAACTATTCCATGAGTTGACAACGCGATCGGAAAAGTAAAACTTTGTACTGTTAAGGTTAAAAAGGTGTTAAAAAAGTTTAAAAGCATGACCCCCAATACATAAGTAAGTGGTGAATTTAAAAACATTTGATAAATCCGTGACTACTATATTATTAAGAATTTTGTACCATAAAACTAAATTGTTAAAAATTCGACGATGTTCAAGCGACTGGTGACAATAGATTGAGATTCCAAAATCACGAATACTATTAACATGATTAAGTTCTTGGTTATTTATACTATAAACATAAGTTGAGTTTTGATTCCGGTTAGTAATGGTGCAAGCAAAGCATTTTTCCATTGCTATCTGAAGTTGCCAAGTACAACTCCAATCATGTAAACGCATTGTAGCTGTGGTAAGGTCTGACTGAGAGTCACACCTTACCACAGCTAATTATCATAAGTGGAATATAGTTTTATATCATCAGCTAAACGTTCAAGTTTAATGTTAAGCTCTTTATATATGTCACTGATATCATTGCTGAACAACAAGAATAAAGTAGGTCCTAGAACACTTCCATGTGGAACACTTCCTTGTAGAACACCACTTGTTACAGATATTGTGTGAGAAGCAGGGATGCGAAGTCCCATCGATTTTTTGGGACTCCGGGACTCCGGACTCCGAGCTCAAAAATCATGGACTCCACGGACTCCGACTCCGGACTCCGGACTCCGTAATAATTTTTTTTTTCTTCATTTAAATATGGGGTTTTTATTATTTGGAACTTTTACGCGAAAGTTCCGGAAAAATGAAAGGGTACCAATAATATTTTCTCTTATGAATTATATATATATTTATTTTATGTACCCTAAGAAGTCCTTACGGTCTTATAACAGCGCACCTTAGAAAAGCAATTAAAAGGAAATTCACTCCTACTTCCTAACCGATGTCGCAAAACCAAAGGTGGGTTTGAACTACGGATCCCTTATTTTTTTTAGGAAAGTGCGCTACCACTGAGCCACGGCTGCTTAAACCCAAAAGTTAATTTGTCCCGCTTTTGCTGGATCGTAAGAATTTATAAGAACAATACAACTCCAAAGATTTTTATTTGATTTGTATTGTCGCACTCAATTTCTCAGATTATTTGAAACGACATGATCATAAAATTATAAAAAGATTTAAATGCTTATTTGCATTAATTACACGCTAAATTAAAAAGTTATAAGGACAAAATATTATAATATTTACATCATCAAAAAACGTTTAAATAAAAAACTCGTTTGTTCGTAAAAAAAGCATTTATTTGTTGAGGTATTTTTATAAGCTTTTTTTGGCTTCTTTCTGACCTTGATGGTACGTTTTTTTGCCAACTGTCTAGATCGTTAGCTTGATTTTATAGCGCAAACTCACAGACAAATTTGTTTTTTTATTGCGTATAATTAATTTGCTAGTGAAATTTGATTGCTTTTCGTATCTAAACCATATTGCTTTCATTACAATTTTTCATTAGGCGTTATTAAAATAAAATTTTTTATTTTATTAGCAGAGTAGACTTTTTATTTTCTTAGACAGAGTCATGCCATTTTGGGTTGAAATTAAAAGAAATAAAAAGATATATTTTTTTTTCTAATAGTATTTACAAGCTTCATTTATTTATAAGTATAGTTTCCTACTATAGTTTACAGTTTTAAACAGTGCTTAAACAAAGCAAAAAATATATCGACAATTTTTTTTTAAAGAACTTGACTTTGGTAAAATATTTGTCTACTGCTCATAACCTAGTTAATCTATTCTAATCGACTTTCTTTCTATGATCAATCTAAAAAATTATAGATAACGAAAAAACTTATGCATAAAAGCAACTTCAACACTAAAATATCATTTATCTCTAAATTTGATAAATATTAAAAAATTATAAAACAACTAAGCGTTCAAACATATCTTTATCTGCAGGTCTAGCCAGTGGCGATTTTGTGAATAAAATGAGGAGGATGAATCCTTCAAAAGTGACTAATGTCTTATAAAAAATATTTAAGTGTCGAATGTTAACTTCCTCTCTTTTTAGGAAAATTGTCCCTGGGTCTCGAAATTTGATGATGAGGAAATACTTAAATAAACAGTTAATCATAAGTACTTTCTTAACGGGATAAAAAAATTAATTGTTTTAAAACTATAAATAAATAAACAAAAATTGTTACATATAAAATGAAAATAATTTGCGAATAAAAGTTTATTAACTTAATATAAAACTTAACATTAAATATCATGAAATTTTTAAAGTTAAAACACTTTATTTTTTTTAATTAAATTTAACAGAAAAAAAATTTTTAAACAGTTTCTTTAACAAAAAAAACTATTTGATCGCAATTGCGGTTAAATACTTTTATTTACAACATTATATTTTCTGAATAAACGTCACATCAACGATATCAAAATAAAAATTAAATATTCTAAAAGAAGAAAGTTTTCTCTTAACGTTAAACTGCTGAACGCATAAGCATATGGCCTTTTCGCACGTAAAATGCGAGCTTGGTAACGCCTCTTAACAAGGCGTAACATTCTAACCGATACTCAATCTGAGTATTGGTTCGAATTAGTAAGGAAGGAGATGAGCTTTCCGGTCAAATGCTCTTTTACAGTGTTTTGTGACAAGACTATCAGGTATTTCTTATGCATATTAATAACTATAAAAAAAAAAAAAAGAGTCCAGGAGTCCTAAAATTTTTATGGACTCCCGAGACTCCGGACTCCGGGCTAAAATAGGGACTCCATGGACTCCGACTCCGGACTTCGCATCCCTGGTGAGAAGAAACATTGTTTAACTTAACTACTTGAAATCTCAAATATAAAAAATTGGTAATCCAATTCAAAAGATTGCCAACTATGCCATAAGCAGGTAGTTTTATTAGTAATTTAGGATGAGAAACTGAATCAAAAGCTTTCTTAAAATCAAAATAAATAATATCAGTAGGAATGTTGCGGTGGAGATTTAAAGTCCAGTCATGAAAACTTTCGAGAATGTTAGTGCAAATACTGCACTTACAAAAAAAACCATGTTGCTCTTTTGTGATAATGTTATTGAGTAAAAGATAATTTATTAGCTCATTATTAATAATTCTTTCCATTACACGCAAAAAGTAGATGTCAATGAAATAGGTATATAATTACTTGGATCAACAGTTGGTAGCCTGGTAATCTGTATTTATCCAACTGTAGGATTGCTGAACAGGAAATTAATCAATATAATGCAGACAGCTCAAATTAGGAGTAATTAAAATTACACTATTGTCACTTGCCCCAATGGGTGGTTTGATGCAAAGTTCTTTGATAAATGCAAAAGAAGTGTCCAAAATGAGATCTGAGCTATTTTCATGAGTAGATTGATCAACAAATTAACTATAACCATAGTTGTTTATAAATCGTAAAAAAGAATTATAGATAACACTATTTAGACCATGATAATAGTGCCAGTCTATATCGCGTAAGTTAAAATCCGCTAGTATGACCACAGCTCTATCAGTGGAACAAACTTTAGAAAAACATTTAACACTTGTTTCCATATAGTCATTATATAAAGTAGAATAAAAAAGTAGAAGGAATAAAAAAGTAGAAGGAACAAAAAAGTAGAAGGAACAAAAAAATAGAAGGAACAAAAGTACAGAGTTAAAGTATCTAGTTGTTACATATAAAATAAAGTCTAACATATAAAATAAAGTCTTCTTTTATTTTAAGAAAAATAATAATAGCAATAAATAAAAAAACAAAAACAATAAAGGGTATAAGTTGTGGTAACTAACAGTTAAAAAACAATTTAATAAAAAAAAATGCAATAAAAATTTTTATTATTGATTAGTATAAAACAATGTTAAACTGATCACAATATATGTGCTATGACATTTTTTTCATAAAGATTTTAATTTTCTTCATTATTAATGAAGAAAATTAAAAACTGTACAATAATATAAACTTGTTTTTTTCTTAAAAATTGAAATTTGTAAAAATTAAAAATAATTTTTCAGAAATGTTTTCTTTTTTTTCTTTTCAGGAAGACCTTAAAATGTCAATAGACATCTAAGCCTAATAGCTGCAAACAATGTAAAGAATCAGGGGTCAAAAAAAGTACAGGGGTCAAAAAAAGTACACCAATGATCCTCAGACCATTTCCGAGGCTTGTAGAGGGGCAACAAACGATTGTTTATATGTTCTTGTTAAGATATGTTCTTATTAAAAAACAAAGCGTTATCTGTCTGTCCATGGACATGTTTGTTTTCTGTGGTCAACTTAAAAACTATAACCTATAGAGAAAAAGTAAAAAATGACCTTTGCTTTCATTCATTTAGAAAAGGATCTTGGTGAAAAAAATTTAAATTTAATTACAATTTATGGTTGTTTTGGTGAAAAAAAATTTTATTAAATAAAAATTTGCATCATTTTTATGTTGATTTTATTTGCGATAACAAGTTATGCAAACTTGCATTACGCAACTAATATTCAACTTTTTAATCAGATTTTATTCCAATTTTGATTTTGTGAATAAAGTGAAATGCAAGAGTGCAGTTTGATTTGTTTCGTATATTTGTATATTTGTTAGTGATTTTTAGGTAACATTCTCTTAATAATGTTACTTTGACAAATAATAATATTTGTACTTTTTTAATCATCTTTTTATAAAGTATTTTTAAACTATTCGAAATTTATTATAATTAAAACATTTTATTTTGTTTTTTTTTCAGTTACTTTAACAAATTAATTATGTATACTTCTCTAATTGTGTAAATATTAATCAAGTCAGCCGCTAATTGTCGTATTCTGTAGTTTATTTGAGCAGTAACTTGAACAAGAAGCTCCCTAAAGATAATCAAAATATAAACATTACCATAATCATCAATGAATTTTTATTTACTAATATAAAATGAAAAAAAAACATTATTTAAATAGTTAAGAAATGAAAACTCACCTTCTCTGAATGTGAAAGGTGTGACTGACTCCCATGGCTTCTTGACTCAGAGATAGCTCTTTCAATCTTTTTTTTAACTCATTCTCTAAATATTATGTATAAAATTTTTACTTTAATAGACAATCTATGAAAAACTAGTTTTTTGTAGCTTTAAAAAAAACCTGGCATTTTAAGTAATGAATACAAAAAAAACTAAACTGTCTAATTTTTTAAACCTCGACTACATAGCCATCCATTCTGTTCTGAAGAAGCACTTCTTTCTAAATCCAAATTTAATAAAGACTTTTTAATTTTAAATTAGAAAAAAAAACCTTATATACATCATTATCACATATATCATCAATAAAATTAAAACAATTAGAAAAATCTAATGAAATTAGTTTATAAAAATTAAAATTGCTCTGGTCAACAGTGAGTTATGGCCTTACAATATTCATTATATAAAACAATTTGCTTGATTAAATTTTAATTTTAATTTAACAGTTAATAAAAAAAAAAGAAAAAAAACTTCAAAAAAAAAACTTGACCTTAAACTAGCTTTTAAAATAGAGAATTTTTATTTAAATAATAAATTTAAATAACATAAATCTTACCATAGAGAATTTTTTGTTTGAGAACCTTTAACTCCTCTCGCATAAGTTTATTTCGCAATATAATTGTCTCTTTTTCAGTGTTCTTAAATAAAAAAAGAACAAATTAGATTTTTCATAGCTTAACTTAAGTTGTAAACACTTTATATCTTGTTTTAAAAAGTTTTATATGAAAACATTGCACTTAACTTTTAATAAAATTATTTTTTGACAAGTTTTTTTACAAAAAATAAATGAAAATCATTATACAATGGAAAGTTTTAAGTATAGCGAGTGAAATATAAAGTATGGTGAGTGAAATATATGGTGTACTAAAGGTAGGGTGTTAGCCAGCCTAATGGCACCACAGAATTCCCAATGGGTTTTATATTCTTATTCAATTTTTTTTTTCTTTTGAAGTAATAAGACAATATAAATAAAAATTCCCAATATATTGTAGAACAATAACAATAAATATTTTCAATACCACAAAAACACAGTGAGAAATATATTCCTGACCTGACCCTGAAGGTAGATACTGACCTGACCCTGAAGGGAAGATGCTGAGGCTACTAATAATAGTTACTTTGTATAGTATTTCTTTTTAAAGAAATCAATAAAGTAAATTTAACGGAAATATGATAATCTTGTGAATAGAAAAACTAAACAGAAATATACTTTTTGAAAAAAGCCTCTAGGATTAACTTATGACTAAATACCAAATGCTTTTTAAAGCATACCACCATTTTAGACAAATGATAAAGTTAAAAAAATATATAATTTTAAAAAACATTTAAGAACTCATATGTAAGTGTTACATTTTTGCTGTCAATTATGAGAACCCTTGTTTATTAAATATCAAATTATTATTGAAAGTTTATCAATTATCAGAAGCAAAGCAATATATATATATATATATATATATATATATATATATATATATATATATATATATATATATATACACACACACATATATGCATAAGTTATGTGTGTGCGCTAGATTTCACTTCACTATAAGTTATTAGCTCTACTTATTTAAACCTCTATTCTTAGGTTGTTTCAATAATAGTGAACTAAGACAGTATTTTATTAATCCATTCTAAAAATTTTAATGAAAATTTTGCAAAACACATTTGTAAAATAAAGGCAGTAAAAAAGATTTTTAAAATGTTTATAAATATTTGTAAGTTAACTTGTAAATGTATAAATATTTTAATTTCTTTTTAAAATCTTTGTTTTTAAAACTAATAAAAGTACTTTTCTCGTTTTTTCTTTTGATGACGCAAGCAACTGAACCATCTGATACTGCACTTTTTCAACTTGCAATTTTGCCTGATGGATTGCTTTTAATGAAGAATGAATGCTAAAAAAGCAACAGGTTATAAATGAATGAATAAAGAATGAATGCTAAAAAAGCAACAGTAAATAGACACAGTAGAAAGTTTGACAACAAAAAATAAAATTTAATAAAAAATAATTAAAAAATTACCGCAAAAGAGAAGCTTTCTTGTAAGAAGGCATAAGCTGAAATGCAAAATGTAAAAAATTAACAGATTAAGCATATTTATATATAATATTATATATATATTTAATCTTAAACATTCATTCTTATTAAAGAAATAAAAACATATATTAATAAAAATAACTTAACACTAAATATCGATCATTAACATATATTAATAAAAATAACTTAACACTAAATATTGATCATTACCATTTTTTCAAAATAAAAAAATTTTTACTTGGTCAATGTGAACTTTAACAAACTGATTTTTTACTTCATTTTCAATTGCACAGTCGTCCTTTAAAATACAAATAACATTTTCATGCAATTTTATCTTATTTTTTTTAAAATCAAATATTATCTTCTAAAAAATTATTTAATAGTTAAGTGAACACAATCTACTGAATTAATTATTACATACATATATATATATATATATATATATATATATATATATATATATATATATATATATATATATACATATATACTTTTAAAAATAAGTAATATAAATTTGATAAATATTTTAATATATAATACAATAAAGAAATTACATTAATAAGAGATAACAACTATCAATTAAATATTATAATAATAAATAAGAACCTTTGGTGCACAATAAAAGCCACCAAACAAACGAAACAAAATACAATTGGTTTCATAGCGATGGTCTTGTGAACGTAACTAGAGAATATGTTAAACCACATTTTAGACTTATTCAAAATTAATACAAAAACAGTATAATAATTAAAAGTAAATAAAAAATATATTAAAATAAAAATTAAAAAGTAAAACAAATAAAACAAATTTAATATTAAATAAAAAAAACTAAAGATACAATATGATTAAAAAAAACCTGCTCTGTAAAATATTGCAGACCAGAAAAATTAACGTGGTAATTTAATATTATTTTGAAATCATTATTTTTGCAAGACCCCCATATACAAAGAAGAACAGAAGCTTACAAAATTGTAAAGGAATATAAATATTATTTTAATAAAAAAATACATTAAAATTATTTTTATCAACATAGAATTACATTATAAATAATTGTTATTTTTAAGGGGCGAGTGACACAGTGAAAATAACTTAGCTAGAAAAAAGATAACTCTGATATAAACAATGCTTCCACGGTGAAAAAATAGAAATCATGAAGTTTCCATTTAATTTAACCTAACTTTCAAGTTTACTATGTTATAAAATTCTAAAAATCTTTCAAAATATCTAACAAAAATTAAAAAAAACAAACTTCCAATTATCTTCAACTGTGCATTTTTTCTTTAAAATCATGCAAAAAATCTTACTTTTTTAAGGGAACACAATGTTGCTAATGCACTAAAATTTAATTGTCAAATTAAAAGCATTTAATTTAACTCAAGTTTATTCATCTTTATTTATATAATTTTATCATGTTAGCTTTACATATGGCTGTACCAGAATGCTTCTCTAAATCTCCTTTACGTTTTGTTAGGGACTGGCTGCATGCATTGCAATGAAGCCAGTCCCTAACAAAATCCATTTTGATATTCTTGTTCATGTGCTTCGTTAGCCATGTTTTTAATTTTTCTTTGCTCAGTATAAAAACTTTGAAAGTTCTTAGGCTGAAAAATTCTTTAAAAACAAACAAACTAGCTTTTTAGCCAGTTGTCTGGTTTTATATATGTATGGTTTTGTATATATATTTGGTTTTATATATATATATATATATATATATATATATATATATATATATATATATATATATATATATATATATATATATATATATATATATATATTTAGCCGGCTCATCAAAGTTATCATATATATTATCAGCAATACCTGAATCAAAATAAGACTGTGTAATTGGTTTGATGTTTGAGGTTTTGAGTTCATTTACTTACGAACTATATACAAAGTTCAACTCTCTTGAAAATAAATAAAATCATCATTATACTTTATGTTAAATTAATTATTTTTTTTTTATTTTTTTATTTGAATATTATGCTGTTTTTTTATACAATCCTCTTCGAAGATATTGTTGGCTTAGCAATAACAGCCGCAAATAGTCATTAAGACTAATCTACAGCATGCCCATTATTGATCGACGTTTTTGTGTACCAAAGTATTACTCAAGCGCTAAGTTGACAATGGTAAATCTTATAAAAATCATGAAATCTTACAAAAAATCTGAAAAAAGATGAAAAATCTTACAAAAATTAACACAGAAAGAGTTGTAAAAAATTGATTTATCTCCTTCAAAAAAACTTTGAATAAGAAAATTGTATTTCAAAAACCTGTCTAAAACTTTTAAGTGTGAACCAATAACGGATATTAAACTTAGATGAAAAAAATAATAATAGCAAAAAGTCATAACAGCAGTTCAGTGACAGTTGATTTCAGAAACAATTGCTATAATAATATTAGCATATGTTCTTCTACATATAAAAACACAATCAATAATAAAAATTGTTTTGAGTTTTGTTTAACAATAAACAGACAGTAACTTTTTACTGAATCATAAAAAAAACCTTAAGTAAAAATTTATTGTTGCAATAACCTTAGTTGTCAACACAACTATAAAGTCTGAAAAAAATTTTAAAACTTTATGATTTTAAAGCTTTTAAACTTTATGACTTTCAAAACAAAAGCATTGCTATCAGTAGCTGAATATATATACAAAATATATACAAAGACAGGCACACAAAAAAGATACAATCTTTTTTCTTGGATGAGTCTTTTAAAAAAACTTCAGGATCAAAATCACGCCAGTTTGGATTCTAGAAAAAAAAAAAAATTATAACAACATACTTTTAACTTCATAAAACCACTAGCATGAAAATACTGTGTAAATCTAAAAAAAACTTTATATAATAAGTTTTAACTGTTTGCAACTGTTATATAATAATTATAAATCTATAATATAAATGTATATACAAATAAAATAAGTATAAATAAGTATCTTCATAATACTTACAAGTGTGTTTTCAATTACTTCACTTTTGTATAAAACTATAAAAAATAATTTTCCAAATACATATTTATATAAAATTATAATATGGCAAATGGAAGTATAATAGGTGTATAACATAAGGATTCTAACGGGAAAGAGATAAGGGAAGATATGCGCTAGATTCAACTGTTAAAAGAAATGAACATAACAACTAAAACTTGATCAAACAATAAAAAAAGCAAATAATCTAAAAAATTTAGCTAAGTAAAAGGAAAAAATTACAACTTTTTCTCACTGAGATCTGTCTTTACTGCTGGTTGCAAGTCAAAGATATTGGCTGTCTTGACTGCTGGTTAAGATTTGCAAACCAAAGATATTGGATAAAATAAGAGGAAAAATATAACAAAATGAGAATAAGAGGGGAAAAAAAAAATCTCATATATATCACTATATATTATTGCCGAACTTAATAGTTTTATCAGTGTCCCTTAGAGCGTATTCGACACAAAACCCTTGGCAGCCATTACAAACGAGGTATTGACGAGAAAGAGTCTCACCTTTGCTTTATAAGAAAACGTGAGCAAACATGAAACTTATATTGTACGTGCATAAACTTCATGTTATGTTATTTTAAAGCATACTTTAACATATATCAAGTTTTACAGTTTGACTTACACTTAAAAACTTCATTGTGTAAACCTTCTTAATTTTTGAAAATTAGCATCTATATCCATTAAAAACAATTTTTATATAGTTTTAAAATTTCTTTGAACGTGCCAGCATGGCCAAGTAATTAGCGCGCTGAGCTTCTTAAAAAGAAAGCCGTGGTTCAAATCCAAGGCCCGTCTACTCTTTTTTTAAATCTTTTAGAATCTTTAAAAACTATTTGTGAAATTAAACAAGTTAAATGTAACAAGTTATGTAAATTAAAACATACTTAAACATATATCAAGTTTTGCAGTTTGACTTTCACTTAAAAACTGCATTGCGTAAACCTCTTCTTAATTTTTAATCTACAGCATTTATTTCCGTTAAAAACAAATTTTATATGGTTTTAAAATTTCAACGACCAACATGCAAGCATGGCCGAGTGGTTAGCGCGCTGAGTTTCTAAACAAAAAGGTTGTGGTTTGAATCCAACATCCGGTGACTTTTTTTATTTTTAAAATTTTTAAAAATACTTGTGAAATTTTATAAATTATACAAACATCTGTATAAGAAACATCTGTATAACAAGTGTATCTAACGATATTTAACGATACACTTTAACAATCGAAAAGATTTTTAAAAAAGCTAAAAATTCTAAAAACATTAAAAAACGAGGGGATATTTTTTGCGTATGTATCATGGTTGAGATTTTATTTTAGTTTTACATTTCAAGTTTTTTTACAACTAGGTTGAGTTTGTGCAAGAAAGTTGAACAACATGTTTATATATAGAAAGTCTCTAGAGCTGTAAAGTTGTTTTTTAAATAACAAAAATTAAAATAAAAAGTAACTTACCACACGGCGATCTTAACATTTTTTAAAACAGTAAGGGAGTTTAAAAAGTATGTTTTTTATAAAAACATACTTTTTTATTCATAAAACATACTTGGATGAATTCAAAATTTTGAAATAGAAGATGTTGACTATCTTAATGTAAAATTTAGTTTTGGTCTCCTGAAGCATAATAAAGATATGCCATTTTTAAATTTTAACAAAAAATTCCCTATTTATATTCACATATTTCTCATTATAGATTTTAAAGTGGTACTTTTTCTTAAATAGTTTCAGTTCAAAAAAATAATTAAAATTTGGTGCTTGATCATTTTTGAATCTGCTGAACCTTAAGATGGAAAGATGAATCTAAAGACGGAAAGATGAATGTTAAGATGAGTGTTACTTCCATACCTGTCTTGATCCATGAGGTTACTTAGGAAGCTCATTTACCAGTCAAAAAGAAAAAAGACAGCCCAAGAACTGTCATGAAGAAAATCACAAAAAGAAATCCAGTCAGCTTCAGGATAGTGAGTCTGAAAAAGTGCAAGATGAAAAATTTATAGAGATTATTGCATGGTTGGAACAACCTAAAAGTTAACAATGAGAAACTGAACTCAAGCTAGGGTCAGAAACAAGACACAAATCAAGGATGTAAAGTAAGTGGTTGAGATCATCTGAAAAACGAATCACAAAATAAAGGTGATGAATTAAAGGAGTGTTAAGCAAAAGCGCATAAAAGAATGGTCAGATGATTCAAACCTAATTTCTCAATAAATATGTGAATTCATGCATAAGTATATGTTCAAACCAAGAATGTAACTATTGGAGTTTCTGCGAATCAAAGGGTAGTAGCCATCAGTATTGAAATCTGAAGAAGCAACTCCCAAATTTTAATTAGTCTAACAAAGAGCAAGCAAGTCTTGTGAACTTAGGTGAATTTACTTCAAAAATCGCAAATATTTATGAAAGATATATTGAAACAGTTAGGTGTTCTTCTTTTAGATGGAATTATTTACAATAAGAAAAAACCTAAAAAAGATGTGGGGTAATTCAATGTCAAATGACCCAGAATTTTTTATAAATGTCTCAGATTTTGCTGATTTTTATACAGTTGAGTGTACTTAGAAAAATAAGAATCCTTTAAAAATTTAGGCTCTGGTTCTTGAAATATGATGGTTTTACTTTTTTCTGTATTCATTGCTCTTTTAGAAAACATAAGGATTTTGATCTGCAAGTAAATGTTTTTCTATATATAAAGAAGATAGCATGGTCCCCACTTTTTTTAGTGGAATATTGCAATTGATTTTGTCCTCCCAGACTAGCTGGAGGTCTGAAACTTTTGAGATTTCTGAAGTGCTGATAAATGTGCATTTAAAAATTTAAAAAGGGCCCAAGACAATGAGGGGGGGGGGGGGAGGGTTAGGTTAAACGCCCTACTTTTTTAAGCAGAATCTTGCAAAAGCTTTTTCATTACCTTCCAGGCAAACTAGAGCTCTGAAAATTTCAGCATTTGTGTAGTCCTTATGAACATGTGTTAAAGTTGTTTTCATGACAGACTACCAGAGTTACCAGAGGCACCAGGGTTACCAGGGCCTTACCCTATTTATTTTCTTTTAATAAAGTAAAGATAGCTTTGAAAACTTTGTCTTCAAAAAATTTTTTGGTTTATACTTGTTCTGTTTTATCTAATTATTTACAAAATAAAATACAATAAATAAAGTGTGAAGATTGTGTTAAGATTTGCTTAGATGCATCAATGGTTGAAGTATACATACTTCCAGTTGTTACATGTGCATCAATGATTCAAGTTGTCTTGGTAATTAAAACCCAATACTCATCTGC